AATAAAGATATTGAACAGGACCAGGCCCAGGATGGAACCCTGCTTATGGCACTCCACTCATCACTTTTTTCCAATGCTTCCTCTTCATCCTGGAAAGAAGTGACAAGTGGGAGGGATAGCTGATACTCCCCAAAATAGGAACAGAATTCAAAATGATCTGAACAGATTAGAGAGATGGGCCAAAACTAACAAAACGAAGTTCAAGAGTGACAAATGCAAGATACTCTACTTAGGCAGAAAAAATGAAATGCAATGATACAGAATGAGGAACGCGTGGCTCGACAGCAGTATGTATGAAAAAGATCTTGGAGTCCTTGTGGACAACAAGTTAAACATGAGCCAACAATGCCATGCAGCAGCAAAAAAAAGCCAAGGGGATTTTGGTCTGCATCAATAGGAATCTAGTGTCTAGATCCAGGGAAGTCATGCTATCCCTCTATTGTGCCTTGGGCAGACCACACCTGGAATACTGTGTCCAGTTCTGGGCACTGCAATTCATGGGAGGTGTTGACAAGCTGGAATGTGTCCGGAGGAGGGTGACTAAAATGATCAAGTGTCTGGAGAACTAGTCCCATTAGGAGAGGCATAAAGAGCTGGGCATGTTTAGCCTGCAGAAGAGAAGGCTGAGAGGAGACATGGTGGCCATGAATATGAGGGGAGATCATAGGGAGGAGGGAGCAAGCTTGTTTTCTGCTGTCCTGGAGACTAGCATGCAGAACAATGGCTTCAAACTACAGGAAAGGAGATTCCACCTGAACATGAGAAAGAACTTCCTAATTGTGAGAGCTGTTCAGCAGTGGCACTCTGCCCCGGAGTGGGTGGAGGTGCCTTCTTTGGAGGCATTTAAGCAGAAGCTGGATGGCCATCTGCTGGGGGTGCTTTAAATGTGATTTTCCTGCTTCTTGGCAGGGAATTGGACTGGATGGCCCTCTTCCAATTCTATGAATTGTTAGTATTTTGGCCTCATATGGGGGAAATCAACATTTCTTATAATTGATTAGACACTGAGATTCACTGAGGTCAGGAAACAGTCCACAGTCAATTTCATTTTTATTTCACTTTCTTTTTGCTCGTTCTTAATGCTTGGGGACAGCACCCTTGATTCTGCACAAACAAGTCTCTTTCAGACATAGGGCATTTTTATATCTCACGATACACTGCAATTCTCATTGCAACCAGAAAATATCCATAATTCATTCAGTGAGATTTATCCAGCTATGTGAGTATCAAGATGGACAAATTCTAGTAGATATTTGCTGTACATGGTGATTTGTAACTAATTATGGGTGGTTCAAAGTCCACATGTAAAAACCATTCATGATAGTTACTTGCTGTTCCATGTAAAGCAGCCACATTTAAAGCTGTTGAACATCAACTCCAAAACTGAAGAGAAGAAAGTGAAAGCCAACCTAACCAAGTAATAAGATAAAATGAATGAAATGTCCTAATGAAAATATTAAGTATGTGAAAAGGGAGATTGGAACTAAGGTCAGGCTGTCCAAGTGGTGGAGTGATGAGTCCCCTTTGGGGTTGAGAAGGGCAGGATACAAATATTGCAAATAAATAAACAATAGGCAAATGATTTTCCTCACATTGAATCCCCTATAGTGGTGGCTGATGGCTTACATGTCAAGTATGGTATGAAATTTAAAGGTACTGAACCTTACTAACAAAATTGCAGCCTGGACAATTCCTTTAACATCCAGAACAAAAATCATGGAACTAACCTGCTGGTCCTGCCTCCCAGTAAAAATCATACTACTACCCTGGAAGCTGCTCTGAATCCTGGGAGGGGAACTACTATGAGCACCATTGGAATCCATCTTCCAGGAACTAATAGCAACTCTGCAGGGGGTGGGGTGGGGGCAATTTTCATTGAGGCCAAGATCATGAAGCAGAGATGCATACTATATAGATCAGACAGCACTGTACATATGCAGACCCCTTTTGTGCTTTGGATTGGCTCTTCAGATATATTTGGCAACACTTAAACTCTTTCACAATCAACTATGTTGGCTAAGGCTAAGGGAGCGACAATCTGACCACTTCTGGAGGACCACATATTCCCCACCAACCATTCACTTCCTGCCGTTATTCACACACACACTGTCTACCTTACTTACAACAGAAACACTGGGGTGCTTGATATATATAACCAATTAGGTGAGTGGTTCTTGCTGACATGACCCTTCTGAATGCATCAATATTGTTTTCCATTGTCATTTTGGTATGAAGAAGAAGGTTTACCACCGCAGTTTGATCTTTGCCCCTTTTTTCTTCAGTTGGTGATATAACAACCTTTGGGAGAAAAGTCAGGCCACTTCAAATGAGTTGATTGCTGTCTAGATTGTCCAGTTTGACTACTGTTTGTGAAAGACATGGAAACAATTCAAAGTGAAAATGTAGGATGAAGCAAGCAGAAATTTTAAAAAGAAAAGAGCTTACCCTCTTTAATCAACAGTGTGGGCATGGCACTGTGACAGCAATTTCCTGATTCCTAGGTTTAATTAAAAATTGAGTTTCCTGAGAAGGAATTCAGAGTACTTTCCCTTCCAGCAGTATTAAAAATATATGTGCAGGGAGTTGTGTTTGGAGAGTTGTAATCTAAGAACTCTAACTAAAACCACATGGTCGCCCCCCCCCCCCCACCCTCCGACTGTTGGCAAAGGACATCCCAAAGGGAGGGGAGAGTCCTGGGACTGACTTGGCAGCTCTCTGGCATAGCAGAGGAGTAGAAAGTATTTCCAGGGGGGAAATGAGAAGGGCTGAAAAAATGGGGAAGGAATGGTAGATGACTAGGTAAAGAAATGAAATAATAATAAGACTGACAGAGTTCTGGAGCACAATACTCCTGACCTAACAATCATGTTAAAAAACAAAGTATGGATCGTCGATGTTGCAATCCCAGGCGATAGGAGGATTGAAGAGAAACAACTGGAAAAGCTGACACAATATGAGGATTTAAAGATTAAACTGCAAAGACTAAGCTAGTAAGGGTGGTCCCATTGGTGATCAGCACACTGGGTGCAGTACCTAAACACAATCAGTGCTGACAAAATTACCATCTGCCAGCTGCAAAAGGCCACCATACTGGGATCTGCACACATTCTTCGCCGATACATCACACAGTCCTAGACACTTGGGAAGGGTCAGACGTGTGATCCAATACAACAGCCAGCAGAGTGATCTTGTCTTCTGTAGACTCATCTTGTTGTTTTTCAAATAACAACAAAAACAACTTTATTTTCTAGACCGCTCTCTCTCCCCAAAGAGACTCAGTGCGGTTTGCACACAAAAAAGGCAAACATTAAATGCCTCAGATGAGTACTAAGATATAAAAAAATAATACATGATAAAGCATGGTAATAACAGTGAACTTACAACAAAGAATTCAACATTGAAATAAAAATATATATAAGAACAATCCAATAAGACTTAGTAGACTTATTTATTTATTTATTTCATATCAAAAGCATTGCATAGATTAGTATAAAACTGATAAAACAGAAGGAGCCACAGAAGATGGCTAAATATCTTTTGACCAAAAATGGGCAAAGCAGCAGCATTGTCTGTAGCCTCCAACAATTCTTCCTCTGTACATGAGGCAGGGCATACTGTACAAGCATACAGATGTGGAGTTGTCTGTTCTGCTCCACAATCACACAAGGTGTGGGATTCTTTTAGGTAGTGCCATTTTGCCAGGTTGTCTTTTGATCTGCCCACTCCACTTCTGAGACTGTTCAGGGACTTCCAGGTTGCCCATTCTTGGTTTGCCCCTGGAGGAAGACCCTTGTGGGGGGCCATCCACTTGGGATTTCCTGGTTTAGCTGCCCAGAGGGATACCCTTGCTGTTGCTTCAGTAGACTAAAACATGAGTAAACATTGCAACATATACCAACTCTTTCTGCATATGGCAAAGAATGGAGCTCAATACATCATTTTCATGCTGTATGCAGTTCTAGAAGATCACTGAGTAATATTTGATATCCACTAGCACAAGGATTTAACCCATTGCACCACTGGGTGTTCCTAGATTCCACTTAACACTGTCAGCCCCAGCTTCTGCCAACCTAGCAGTTCGAAGACATGCAAATGTGAGTAGATCAATAGGTACTGCTCCAGCGAGAAGGTAACGGCATTCCATGCTGTCATGCTGGCCACATGACCTTGGAGGTGTCTATGGACAACGCCGGCTCTTCGGCTTAGAAATGGAGATGATCACCAACCCCCAGAGTCAGACAAGGGAAACCTTTACCTTTCCTACTATACCATTATACTGTAATATTATTAGTACTGTTACATGTAATATAAATATATATAATTATGATATCGTATTATTATTATTATTATTAGTAGTAGTAGTAGTAGTAGTAGTAGTAGTATATTATATTACATTATAACATTATCAACATTATATGTATATACAATATATTATATTATATATTATATTATTAGCATAGTGCAGGAGACAAGGTGGAACTGTCTTCCTGGCCCCTTCTCTTCACTCCGGTTCCAGAGCAGCAGTTGGTGCTGGGGGGAGGGGGCCTGAGGCTGTGAGGAAGGGTGGGAGTTGAAGTCCAAAACACCCGGAGGGCCCAAGTTGGCCCAGGCCTGCTATAGAAGACTAGACATTGTAGTTTTACAAGGTCTTTAGCCTTTTCTGTCAAAGAGCGGTGATGCTTGACCAAACTACAACTCTCATGATTCCACAGCATAGAGCCCATATTGCAGTTCAAGCGGTGGCAGACCTCCTTCATTGTAACAGGTGGCTGAGAGAGGCTCCCAGCCCCCCCCCCCCCCCCCCCCCCCCCCCCCCGGCCGCCTTGGCTTGCCTTTCCCGGGCGACCTGTTCTGTTCTGGCGAGGCGCGTGCCCGGCCCCTCCCTCCCTCCCTCCTCCCCTGCCCACAAGGAAGATGGCGGAGGCGTGGGCTTCACGCGCCTCCGCCAGGCGGGTGGGCGCTACCACGGCAGGAGGGGGGAGGGGGAGGAGAGGAGGAGCCGGGCGGGCGGAGCGGACCATCGGGGCAGCCGGGAGCCATGTTGGGGCTGCGAGAAAAGGAGGAGGCGGCGGCGGAGGAGGAGGAGGAGAAGGGGGCGGCAAAGAGCAGGGAGACGATGCCGGCGGTGAGGAGCAGCCGGCCCCGCGGGGAGAAAGCATCCGCGTGGAGGAGGTAGATGGTGTCGGCAGCCGGGGCGAGGAAGGAAGGAGGGGCCCGGGTAGCATGGCCGCAGCGCCGCTCGCCGAACCGGCGCCCAGCCGCCTCGTCCTCCTCTGTTGCCGCTGCTTCTTCCGCCGGCGGTTCCTGCTGGCGCCGCTGCTTCTCCGCCTGCTCCCTTTGTCTCCGCTCGGCCGGGGGGCCCGAGGCTTGCCGAGCCGGGGCTGCGCGGGTACGGCGGGAGGCGCCTCCTCCTTGTGCCCGAGCTGCGCCGAGGGGGCCTTGACGCCGCCGAGGAAGAGGAGGGCCACAAGGAGGGGAGCCACCCGGCGCCAGGGGCGGACTAGCGACGCGGCGGCTTCTCCTGCTGCTTCCGCCCTCCTTCCGGAGCCTCCCAGGAGCACCGGTGGGTGCCTCCTTCCTCCTGGGAAGGACGCCAAGCCCGGGAAGAAGGCGGCCAAGGATGCCCAGCCGCCGCTCCGCCTGGGAGCCTGGAGCCGGCCCTTTCCGCTCGGCTCTCATCCCGCAAGGATGCGCCCGGCTGCCTTCTCCCGCCTGGGCTGGCCCTCTTCCCGCCGGGCCCTCCTCCTCCTCATCCTCCTCCTGCTCCTGACCTACCTGCAGCTCTGCGCGGGGCACGGCCCCTCTCCTTCTCCTTCTCCTTCTCCTTCTCCGTCTCCTCCTCCTCCTCCTCTGCCCTGCTGTTGGGGCTTCTCCGAGCCAGGCTGCCAACGGGCCAGGACGGAGATCTCGGAGGCGGGCTTCCTTTCAGCACCACCAGCGCCGCGGACAGCGCCAGCCTCAGCCGCGCACAGAGTTCCGCCCCGTCCCTGCCTCGCTTTGCCCTCCTTGGACTCCCGTGAAGGCTGCTCGCAGGCTCTTTGTTTTGGCCGGGATTTCCGGAGCCCGGGGCTCTTCCCTCCCTCCCCACTGAACCCCTTCCCCCTAGCTCTGCAGAAGGGGCTCAGGGCTGCTTCCCCTTGTGCCAAGAGGAGGAGGAGGAGGAGGAGGAGGAGAGAGGGAGCCTTGCCCAGGACAAGGAGGGCCGCCAATCGGCACCCCATCTTCCCCCAGTATAACTATCAAGTGCAAGTGGCCGAAAACCAGCCCCCGGGGACTCCTGTGATCACCATGGCGGCCCAAGACCCCGACCCCGGGGAGGCCGGGAGGCTGCTGTATTCCATGGATGCCCTGATGAACAGCCGCTCCCTGGAGTTGTTTAGCATCGATGCCCAGAACGGCCTCATCAGTACCACAGAGGCCTTGGACCGGGAAAGCATGGACCTGCACTACTTCAGAGTCACAGCCACCGACCGGGGACAGCCTCGCCTCTCCACCACCACCATGGTGGCCATCACGGTGGCCGACAGGAACGACCACGATCCCGTCTTCGAGCAGGGCGAGTACCGAGAAACCATCCGGGAGAACGTGGAAGAAGGCTACCCCATCTTGCAGCTGAGGGCCACCGACGTGGACTCCCCGCCCAATGCCAACATCCGATACCGCTTTGTCAACGAGCAGGCGGCCCACTCTGTCTTTGAAATCGACTCACGGTCAGGACTGATCACCACAAGTGGGCAAGTGGACAGGGAGAAGCTGGAGAAGTATTCCCTGGTGGTGGAGGCAAACGACCAAGGGAAGGAGCCCAGCCCCCGCTCGGCCACGGTGAGAGTCTATATCACGGTCCTTGACGAGAATGACAACGTCCCACAGTTCAGTGAGAAGAGGTACATTGTCCAAGTCAGAGAGGATATAAGACCTCATTCAGAAATTTTGAAAGTTACGGCCACTGACTTGGACAAAGACAACAATGCTTTGGTTCATTACAACATCATCAGTGGGAATAGCAGGGGTCAGTTCTCCATTGACAGTGTGACTGGAGAAATCCAAGTTGTGGCTCCTTTGGATTTTGAAGTGGAGCGAGAATATGCTCTGAGGATACGGGCCCAGGATGCAGGGCGCCCTCCTCTGTCCAACAACACCGGTATGGTTAGCATCCAAGTTGTGGACATCAACGATCACACCCCCATTTTTGTCAGCACCCCTTTCCAGATATCTGTCTTGGAAAATGCCCCTTTTGGCCACTCAGTAATCCACATCCAGGCTGTGGATGCAGATTACGGAGAGAATTCCCGCTTGGAGTACAAGCTCTCTGGGACCTCACCCGACACCCCCTTTGTAGTGAACAGCGCCACTGGCTGGATTACTGTGAGTGGCCCCTTAGACCGGGAAACTGTGGAGCACTATTTCTTTGGGGTAGAAGCCCAGGACCATGGCTCCCCATCTCTGTCGGCTTCTGCTAGTGTCACCATCACTGTAATGGATGTGAATGATAATCGGCCTGAATTCACCCAGAAAGAGTATTTCATCCGTCTCAATGAAGATGCTACTGTGGGGACCAGTGTCCTCAGTGTCACAGCAATTGACAGGGATGTGAATAGTGCCATCAGCTACCAGATAACAGGGGGAAACACACGGAACCGTTTTGCTATCAGTACTCAGGGGGGAATGGGACTAATCACCCTTTCTTTGCCTTTGGATTACAAACAAGAGAGGCGCTTTGTGCTCACAGTGACCGCCTCTGACCGGACTCTGCATGACAACTGCCATGTCCATGTCAACATTACCGATGCCAATACTCACAGGCCGGTATTCCAGAGTGCTCATTACTCAGTAAGTGTGAATGAGGATCGTCCTGTAGGAAGCACTGTGGTTGTGATCAGTGCCACTGATGATGATGTTGGGGAAAATGCCCGGATTACCTACTACCTGGAGGACAATATTCCTCAGTTTCGGATTGATGGTGATACTGGTGCCATCACTTTGCAGGCTGGACTGGATTATGAGGACCAGGTGACTTACACACTGGCCATCACAGCCAAAGATAATGGGATCCCTCAGAAAGCTGATACAACCTATGTTGAAATCATGGTCAATGATGTCAATGACAATGCCCCTCAATTTGTTAGTGCTCACTACCAAGGCATCATCTCAGAGGACAGCCCTCCCTTCACAAGTGTACTCCAGATTTCAGCCACTGATCGGGATGCTCAAGCCAATGGACGGGTCCAGTATACGTTCCAGAATGGAGAGGATGGAGATGGAGATTTCACGATAGAACCCACCTCTGGGATTATTCGCTCTGTCCGTAGGCTGGACCGGGAGAGCATCCCAGTCTATGAACTCACTGCTTATGCTGTGGATAGAGGGATTCCCCCTCAAAGAACACCTGTCCACATTCAAGTCACTGTGCAGGATGTGAATGACAATGCTCCTGTCTTCCCAGCTGAAGATTTTGAGGTCTTAGTGAAGGAAAATAGCATTGTGGGCTCTGTTGTGGCCCAGATCACAGCTGTTGACCCAGATGAGGGACCCAATGCTCAGATCATGTACCAGATTGTGGAAGGCAATATCCCTGAGATTTTTCAGATGGACATATTTTCAGGTGAGCTCACTGCTCTGATTGACTTGGACTATGAGACCAAGTCAGAGTATGTCATCGTCGTCCAGGCCACCTCAGCACCACTTGTCAGCAGAGCCACTGTCCACATCAAGCTCATTGACCAGAATGATAACAGCCCTGTTCTTAAAAATTTCCAGATCCTTTTTAACAACTATGTTTCCAACAAATCCAACACCTTCCCTTCAGGGATTATAGGGAGGATCCCTGCCTATGACCCAGATGTGTCGGACAAACTATTCTACACTTTTGAACGAGGGAATGAGCTGCACTTGTTGATCATCAATCAGACAAGTGGGGAACTCAGGCTGAGCCGTAAACTGGACAACAATCGTCCCTTGGTAGCATCCATGCTGGTCACTGTCACAGGTAAGGATGCTTTCAGTTCTGTCAAGGTTTGTGGCAAAGTTGTTATTTGCTGAGATTATGTAAATGAGATTGCTGGTTAGCTAGTGGTAAATGGTACCAGGTTCTCAATATTTGGGCCACTGAGCCAAGGTGGGGTGGGGGGGGGGGGGGGATTGAGGAGAGACCTGGATAGTAATTACTTTGGTGGATCTTTTATTTATTTTTCCCAGCTTCCTTTAGGGCGTAATAGCTCAGTGGGCTACCAAAAAGGCAAGATTTGATTGCTTGCTATTATCTCATGGCAGACTCATTTCATAATTTATTAGACAGAGCCGGATTCCTGCCCTGAAGAGTTTACAATCTAAATTAGATAAAGTGCACACAAAGGAGAGGAGAAAGGATGTAAATTGGTAAGATAAACCTGCTTGTTGCATGGAGATTTCAAAGAGGGAAAGGAGAGGCTTTCTGATCCTTTTCTTGGCTTTCTTTTCATACAATGGCATAATAGTCTAGCAAATAGGGAAGATATTACAGCACGGGTTTTGTAGGGCCCCAGAGCTAGAGCTGATAGAAATACAGTCAGCTGCAACAAGTGATGGAGAGTTTGTTTGGGTGTAAGATTTCCCTCTCTCACAGTTGTGGGCGATAATGAAATGAGGGGATGGGATCCCACAAGGGAGATGATGAGTTTCCACAGGAAAGGCTCCCAATAACCGTCAGTTGCAGTTCCTGGTTGATTTTATGATTTCCTCCAACCTTTCTGTGGGCCAGGCAGGAACAACAGCTTGACTGCCATTTTTTTTGTATGATTTGTGGGTGTCACGTGCATTAATTTCACGTATTTGGTATCCCAAGATGTCTTTTTGCCTGGGCTGGGTCATCATGACTTTCTTTCTTAGCTTTCACTTTGGTTATCAGGATGTCTTCCCAAAAAAATAAAGCTTCAAATTGTATGGAAGGATTTACTGTTGATTTATTTGTTTCAAATCATTTCTGTGCCATTATACTCTGGCATCTCAATACTGGATACAAATTTATATTTGAATCTGTTGATCAGGTACATTTTCCAAGGGTCTCTTCCTCCACTTATCTCCCCATAAATATGTAATGCAGAGAGTTACTTTTTTGGACTCTCAAGAGCCAATGGGGCCAGTTGATTTTCTGGTTTGGGGATTCTGTGAATTGTAATCTTTACAAAGTAATTGTTTCAGATTCTGACATATGACTTCTTTGGAATCTTTCCAAACAAAAGGTTTCTGCTTGTAGATGGACCTGATGACACTGCGATCATTGTTAGATATTGTTTCTGACATGGGTGCTTTCATTGTCAAAAGTCAACAATCTCCAATGAGTGTTACTTTGTTACAGCAGAACCATCTAAGACTCTAGTGCAGTGGTTTTCAACCTGTGGGTCCCAAGATGTTTTGGCCTTCAATCCCAAAAATCCTAACAGCTGGGATTTCTGGCTGGGATTTATGGGAGTTGTAGGCCAAAACACCTGGGGAACCACAGGTTGAGAACCACTGGTCTAGTGACATCTTAAAGACTGGCAAGTGTATTTAGATTAAGTATATCTGTCAATTATAAACCACTCCATCAGGTGTAAGTAGGAAAGAGTTCACACCATTTGGAGCCTTAGCTGATTCTACCAAGTTGACGTTTCCCCGCTTCTACTGTCTCAGACACAAGGTTTTCTCATGCTCAGATTTCATCTAAAGTTCTCTTTTTCATTTAATTAATGCAATCAGTCACATTAACATGTATTGTCAGCATTTCTGTCTTGGCTACAGTTGCCTCTTTGTCTTCCCTGCCGTCTTAGAACACAGGGTTTACCGCAGATTTGAAGTATGAATTCTGCTTCTATGTGTTTAATGTTACATTTCGTAATATCAGATTATCTATTTCCCAGTTCCTTTTTCTCCTACAAGCTTATTTGTTCCTCATATGAAAACAAGAGGAAAGATCTCCATTTTATCTCATTAGGAAAAAGATTCTCCATGATTTTCACCTCATTGTAATACAGGTTGAGTATCCCTTATCCAAAATTCCAAATTTCAAAATACTCCCAAATCCAACATTGTCCATGTGGATGGTTGAGAATGTGATGCCTTTTCTTTCTGATAGTTCAGTATACTACTTTGCCCCTGATGGCACAGTGGGTTTAACCACTGAGCTGCTGAACCTGCTAACTGAAAGTCACAGGTTTGAATTCAGGGAGCGGGGTGAGCTCCCGATGTGAGCCCCGGCTCATGCCAACCTAGCAGTTTGAAAATATGCAAATCTGAGTAGATCAATAGGTACCGCTTCTGCGGGAAGGTAATGGCACTCTATGCAGTCATGTTGGTCACATGATCTACGAGGTGTCTATGGATAACGTCAGCTCTTTGGCTTAGAAATAGAGATGAGCACCAACCCCGAGTTGAACACAACTGGACTTAATATCAGGGGAAAATCTTTACCTTACCTAATATACACAAACTTTGTTTCATACACACAAATATTTTTTAAAATATTGTGTATAAAATTACTTTTAGGTTATGTGTATATACAAAATGTAAATGAATTTCACGTTTAGACTTATATCCCATATCCAAGATATCTCATTAGATTGATGCAGTTTTTCTAAAATCTGAAAACAATCTGAAATATAGAATATTTCAGCTCCCAAGTATTTGGGATAAAGGATGCACAAGTATCTCTATTTATTTATTTAAAGTATTTGTATACCACTTTTCTCACCCTGAGGGGGACTCAAAGCAGTTTAGTGTGGGGATAGGTGAACTCTGTGTGTATGTAAATAAAGGTCTTTAGGAAATTCCCCTGAGCTATAAGATGTCATTTGAATTTTACAGATGGGAAGCAGATATAGAGAAGGGTGATACATGTCCAGATAGCCAGAGGCCATCAAGGAAAATGTCTGACAAGGCTCAAAATAAAATCATCCTCATCCTCATCATCACCATCACCATCATCATCTCTTCCAGTCCTGGTCTTTTATTATAAGGTCACCATCCCATTGCTATCAATAGTGGTGCTTAAAAATTGAGTCCTAAATGGTGATGACAGCAATGATGATGATGATGATGATGATGATGATGATGATGATATTTGATGCCAAATAACTCAGCTAGGACTTGTAGAAATGGGTGTGGGAAGTCCCTGTTTGCAGAAGACAGGAGGGAGAGATGAAGAAGAGGAAGTGATGTTGGTGGCTCACAGGCTTAGCTACCCAGCTGTGTCTAGGAAGACTTACATTATTCATGCCATTCTCCACATCCATTGCTATCATCTAACTCACCCCCACCCCCACCCCGTCACATCCAGACTAATTTAGGGAGTGAGCTGGCAAAAGGCTTCCCTTGTTTCTTTCAAAAAAGGGGGGCATGGCAATGTGTTCAGAGCAGGCTGGCAGGCTCATTGCTAGATTGGGGTTTCTCAGGGGTTAATTGTAACTGCAGGGCAGGGCGATATCATATTCAGGCACACAGGCAGGCAAAGGCAGTGTGAGAGAGAGATTGGGAGGCATCCAGGGCTGATTACTGGAGAGCCGAGCTGACCTTTTCATACTTCTGCCAGGGTTTGCTCATGCAGGTGCTGCCTCTCTAACATACTTAACCCCACACAAAGGCAGGAAGAAATCACATTTTCGGGTCTCGCATTTAACAGTCTTAGAACAACAAGGCTCTCGAAATGACGGTGTGGTCCTTTTTCCAGCGAGGAAGGGAAAGGCTAAGCTCAGGGAGGTGACAAGAAGCACCGAAAGCACAGAAAGGAGGAATTAAGCAAAGGATCTGTCCCTTGTGGATGGAGGGGTGTATATTGGAGATGGGGGAGAAAGGAGAATGGGCTGCTCAGTGCCTTTTGTTGGCTATGATGACATTGTCAGAAAGGCTGAGGCCCTTCTGCTAAAATCAAACAAAAAAAACCACCCACATAGCTGCTTCATTTCATATTCCAATTCTGTTTGTTGCATGTCTCCTGTGCCAGTATGAGACTGTGTGAATAAGGATGGGATCCATGATGAAATCAATGCACAATTAGTCAGGTCTAGAGGAGGAGGAAGGGATGAGGCAATTTATGAAATGGATCTTAATTGGATGGCAGTGCCAGCCTTTTTACTTTGGTCAATAATGCACAGAAATTTACAGGGCAGCCTTGGCTTGTCACATACTGGATTCACGTTTATTTGAAAAAATTCACAGTGAGAGTGATTTTCTTTGTTTTGTAAAAGCAAAACCCATATTAGCATTTCAGTCTTATGCAAGGATTTCTCATTCCATGAACTCAGAAGAGGCCTGGAGAAAGCATAGTCCTCCGGACATTGTTGGGTTGCTACGCCCAGTATTCTTCACCATTGCTGGGATCTGCAGTTCAATAGTATCTGGAGGGCTGTAGGATTGTCATCTCTGTTGTGTGTAAAAGTGTTTTGGATTTTGAACAGTTTCCCTAATCCTTGTCTTCCAAATACAGTTCCAAACAGCACAGCCAGTGATTGAGACAGTGTCTCAAAATTAGGAACATATTTAATTTATATACATATTCAGGAGCTAGCTGTGGGCAGATCATTCCCCCTAATTCTGTTCTGGGCAGAGGTAGCTACTGCTGAACAACAGCTTGTTCACCAGAGAAGTTGTCCAACATTGTCTAGTTCAGTGTTTCTCAACCTTGGGGTCAGGACCTCTGGGAGGTGGTAACAAAGGGGTTTTTAAAGGGTCACCAAAGACAATCAGAAAACACATTTCTTATGGTCTTGGGAAGACCTTTGACAGAAAAGACTGAAGATTTCTCCATTTGTCCTCTTTCTTTTTGGAAACAGACAGCCAGTCCTTCCACCAAAACCCCTCCTCCTGGAGTGATTGGCCAGCCTCTCAGCCAAGGGGAAAGCTGTTTCTGAGTCTCCATGTGGGGAGGGGAGAGCAGGCATGCTCAGTGTACGGCAGCATTTAGTGAGGTTCAAGGGGCTCTTTGATTGCAGGTGAACTATAAATCCCAGCAACTACAACTCACAAATGTCAAGGTCT